TCCGGCTGAGGGGGACGGGGCGGGAGAGCGTGAGGAAGGGCACCGGGGAGCCCCTCTCCTGGGTGCCTTCCCCAGCCAGCAGCCACTCATCCATCAGGTGTCTGCCTGCTCCCCAGACAGTCCCTTACGCTCTTTGGCTTTGGGGTTTTTTTGGGGGATTTTTAGGAAAAAAAACAGACTGTGGGAGTTGCGGGGGCTGAAGCAGAACCCTCGCAGCTACAGGAGGTTGTCTGGATGGCCTTGTCCTCACAGCGAGCTGCCATGTAGCTCCCCAGGCATGGGGGGCACCGGGCTGGCACCGACACATCGCTTCTCGACAGAGGCCTGGCCTTACCGAGAACTTGAGTTGATCCGGGATTTCTTTGTTTGAAAGTTATTCCTTCCCCCCAGATCGCGGCGTGCATTTGCTCCTCTTGGGGGAAAGCAAGGCGAGATTGCCCCCTTTCTCCCGAAGGTGTTAGACATGCTGTGCCCCAGCTGCCGTGCGGGTGTTCCCCCCGTCTTTTCCCCATCACAAACCCGTTCAGGTGCCAGGAACCTCTCACAAGCCTGGTACCGCTTTATTTCCCCCACCATTGGACATACTAAGAAAAAACCATTTCTGCATGCCTCTTGCTCTGTTATTCATAATTATTCTGTAAATTGCATACAGAGGGTTTTTTCCTTCCCTGGTCCGTACTAAGAAATGGGCCTCTGATGATCGCTTGAGGATGGAGAAAGCCATATCCATTCCCTGAATGGCTGCTGCACTCTGAGATTTGCCTAGGGTGCTTCTTTGATGTGATTATGGAGACATAGAGAAGATGGATCTTCATTGGTGCTTTTACTTGTGTTCAGGTCCCCATTAATCTGCTTTTAGCTGCAGCCATAGCAGTGTTACCTGGTTTTTGCATCCTTTCCACCTCTTACCCAGCCTGCTGTCTTTTGTGCCTCACAGCCTGGCTCTTACCCAGACCAGTCCTACAGCTTTTTTAGCACAGTTTTTTGAAAACTCACTAAAAGAACTATTTTGATAGAAGTACTGTATTTTGATAAAGACTCTAACTCCCCCTAGCAAGCATTTCTCCACACGTTCAAGCTATTCCCCCCCTCCCTGCCCCCCCTCAATCTCTTCCCACTCTTCCTGGCTTCTGTCTCCATTGATTATCTCACTCACAGTAATTCCTTCGTACCTCCAGCCTTCCCACTTCTAAAGTCTGAAAGCTTCTGAATGATGCTGTTAGCAAGTGGAAAATTCAGGGGGTTTGACTTGGCTTATGGGGGGAGATGACAGTTATTTCTCACACACATGTATTGGATAGGAAGGGAGTTAAAAGACAATGGTATCGGTATGTTCTTGCTCTCTTATCTACATTGCAGATGAAACAAGATGGCACTGGGAATGCATTTAGCAGAGTCATCCTAATGATAGATGTGTCTCAAAGGGGTTTAGGAAGCAGCCAGACCGAGGCAGGAAGCCCCACCTGGCCGTATGGTCCACGGTCCCTTCAATTTCTCCATTTTGAGGCTCAGCTCAGAAGGTAAAAAGGATCCATCTGACTTTGAACGGGTGGAAGCGGTGCTTGCCCCTGCCAGCTGCAGCTCTGCTCTCCTTTCCCCTCCACTTACTGTAAATGGCACAACTCGTAAGTGACTGCTTAAAGGGTAGGCTATCAGGCACACGCTCCAGCTTTTATGTGTGGAGCACTGACCACACTTCAGCACTTTTTTAAAATAGGCTAATTCTTCACAAATTGCAGAAATTAATCAAAGTTCAGATTCCTTCACAGTCCACCGGTGAGATACCGAATCCCCAGACAGACCCGTGCAGACACACACTCTGCATTCAGCTCTGCCACGTGGAAAAGGTACCTTGAAATTGCGTTGTCTCTTGTGAGCCCAGTGCACGTTTCCACTTGGGGGCTATGGCTGGGTCAGTGAACCAAGGGGAACAGGCAGAACGCTGTTTGAGGAAGAGCTCCCTGTAACTAGAGCATTTTGGGCTCTAGTTAGGCTCTAAGTTGGGCTCTAACAGGGCCATTTTGGTTTAGAAACATGAAACCATAACCCTTTCCATTGTTTACTTTTGTTGACACAATGGGCCAAGTTCAGAGTGAAATAAAAAACAGTGACAGGAGGATTGAGTTGAGTGGAAATTCTTGCTGATGGAGGGGGTCTTAACACATGCATTAGAGGGGCTGGAATTATCTTAAAATACTAATCAGTGTAAATAAAAAAGCATTCAAGTTACCCCTCTGTTACAATCAGTAAACTCAATAGAAGTTTCCTGCTCCCCTACCTTCTTTTCTGAGCAATATCAATATGCAGCATTTAGAAACCATTTCACAAAGTTAAACATTTATTAGGAACAAGAACTATTACAAAAAGATACCCATAGTCTAAATATATACATGAAGTTTAAACATAGCATTTTCATGTACCTTTAGCTATAAAAATACATTAGATTAACTGTATCCTAATTTATAAATATAGTTCTTTTTTTTTTTTAAAAAAAAGTAGTATTTCATATGAAAGCCTTACTGTGCAATGAAAGAATATATACCCTCTAAGGGGTCACTTTAAAGTTAGTGTCTAGTGTTATATAATTTAGAAAATTCAGTGTAGAGTCAAACCCTGATTTATACAATAAGAGATACATTGACTTTTAAAAAAACTTGATAAGGGAAAAAAAAGAGGTGAAATATATATCATACATATAAAGCCAGAATACTAAGATTTTTAGAATTTCAGATTATTTCGGTTTCAACCACTGTTTATAAAAAATTAATACAGAGATACATCAAGATAACCAGCCTTTTACCGTTTGCCTTACCTCCCTACTGTCTGACCGCAGCCCTAGAAAACCATCAAGTAGGCAAAAGTAAAATGTTTGTCTGAAGATGGTTGCACTCTAAGTGTTTTACAAAAATAGAAACTTATTTACAGTGTTCCCATTTGGCCTTTCATGGGGAAGGGAGGACATTTTCTTCACTGGATGGGGAGATTTGCCTGTCTCGCATACCCGTGGGAGGACAGGCACCTAGTTACACCCAACTGCTGGAGGTATGTCATGTAAGAAGCTGAGCAGTGTTGAAGTGCAATTTCAACGTTCACTAACTAATAAGGAAGTTTAGGCTCATGCAAACTTTTTTCCTCACTTATCACCACCCACCTTCCTTCCTCCTCCAAAAAAAGGTCCACTCATGCGACAGAGCTTGTTACTGACGGGGTATATCTCTGAGCAAAGGAAGGCCATAAGGAACCTCTACCAGTTGGCTGTCAGAGGACAATCCCAGTGAGATCAGCTAAGCTTCCTAACAAGCTGACACCACTAAATCCTGCATCCTTACAGCTCCTGCAGACATGGGACTTCCTGATCGTTTGCCAGTGGTTCTCCAGCACAGAATCAGGAGGAGGAGGAGGGAAAGTAGTGAACCCAGGAACTGAAGACAGCATGTGGCTTGTCCTTAATCTCACAGTAATGTCTGGGCATGCAAAGGAGTTACTGCAGGAGATACTAAGGCATGAACTTGGTGTGATAGCCACTCCATGGGTGCCACTGATGTACTGCACGTACTTAGACAGCTGTAAGCAAGACACAATTCAAGGCAGTTTATTCCTCAGTGAAGGATCAGCTACTCTGTGCTTGCCACAAGATGACAGCACTCATGAGGACAATTACTGCAAAGCTGCTGCCACAAATATTTAAGTCCAGCCATAGTTTACTCCATGGTAACTGGTTTGTACACCCACATCTTTAGCACTCGGTGTGTGCTTGGGAGCACCTGCCTTTTCATACTGTACTTCCAGAAATTTATTGTCAGCTACATTCACACGGGATAAAGAAGCAGTGAGAAAAGCTTGTAAGTTTTACTCTCATAATAATAGCTCTGGCTCAAAAAATGAAGAGATGTTCACACAGCCTGAAAGTTAAGAGAGAGCAGGACAGCTTCTTGCAGCAATTCTGCTCCCTCCCCCAGATCAGAAGGACTGGCGTGGGATGTTTTCTATGGTGTATCTACCATGCTACATGCTTAGCATTCAACTTGGTGTCTTCACGGTAAGTACAGTGCAAAATCCTCTTGCAAAAAGTGCTATAGTGAAGGTTTGAGATACAGTTCTGACTCATTTGGAGCCAGAAGGGTTAGCAAGTCAGGAACTTGCATTTGCAGCATGTGTGATGTGTGCACACCAAAACATCAGGTTCCAAGGACACTTTAAAGTCTAGCTCTGTTGGGTGAAATACTGGCCCCAAAGGAGTCCTCTAGGAAGCTCCCACAAATCTCATTCGGGGCTAGAATATCACCGATATGGAGAACGCACGTATCTTTAGAGAGACCAAGACAGCTCTTTCAAAGAGAATTTCTTTACAGATCCTTCCACGAAAGCTTGCACCCCCATTCCAAACTCCAGCTGCAATCTTCACACAAACTCCGCCAACTTCAGTCAAGTTGTATTAACCCTACCACTCCAGTCCATTTATGCCAAGTGAAACCCATAGGCCTCTGAAGGTGTTTAACGGTCCATGCTAACGGTACCAGAAGTCTCTCTAACATGCCATCGATGTCCACGTCCTTCAGGGGTACAGTCTGAAAGCAGATGTCCTGCAAACACTGTGACTGACCAGCATTTCAGTCACAGGTAGCAGACAGCTGTACAGCCAGGGACTTGTACAGTACAAGTGTGTGCTATGCTGCCAGTAGGGTCAGTTAAATCCGTTTTCAAAGAGCCAGTTGACAAAATGGAGTCCAGTAGATTCAGTGTTTCTAAAGGAATAAAGTTAGGTGTTTCCATTTTCCTTCCTACCACTCCCCTCCCCCTTGCTCTGAACACGTCCCCCATGTGTCACATTCAGAGTGTCAGCATTTTAGGCCTTCTGTTTTCAGGGACTCTTCTGGGAGAGTTTAATGGTGACTGTTTTCACTTCAGTATATTCTGCCAAAGCGTATTCACCGCTGGAAAAGAGAAGAAAAAAACAATTGTAGTATGTTAATGTGTACTTCCCTAAGGTAAGAGATTTCCACACAAGGGCATTTTAGCCTCTGATTGACAGCTGCTGTAGATGACATCAGGCCATTAAAACCAGATCTGAACTGACTTACACAAGCTATCAGTTTGGCCCACCACTTCTAATAATCGCTAAGTACGTGCACATAAGTACGGACAACTACACCCTGTTGTAAAAGAAACAGAGAATGCTTCTGGTCACAGTAACCCACAAGATGACACCTTGTGACTTTCTGCCTAGTGAAAACCAAGTACTGTTGTGAGAACTCATAGAAGAAACATCCACGTGAACATGGTTATCAGTGCTTAGACAGTAATTAAAGTTACTTTTTCACTGAAAGTAAGCTTCTGTCTACAAGACACCACATAATCAAGGGGGCACGGTTGCTCCAGAAATGCATACTGATGACAGACCCCACCACTGCATTATGTCTTGGTTGGTGGCAACTGGCTCTATTCCCTTGCCTTGCCCAAGGGATAAACCCCTGACATCCTTTAATTAGCCAGGCAGCCAGGCAAAGTAAACCCATAAGGTCTCAATATATATGTCCCATTTGAGGATTCATTCATTTGCTGTGCTTAGCAAGCGAGGCATCGGATGTCTCAGAGCAGCAGATGCATCAGAACAGCTACTGGAAATGGTTCCTGGAAATAAATCTGGCTTAGGAAAGAAAAGTTGCATTAGATTCCTCTGAAAAGTCTTTGGAATGGTGTAATAAAACCTGCCTCTCTCCTATACAAGAAGAAAATTAAGATTTAAGTCAATTTCTCAGCTCTACCTCTTAACTTACAGGGTGACCTTGGTTTAAAAATGTCTGTGTTAGTAACTAATTGGAGCTGGAATGTCTGGTAGCCACAGGTCCGCTGGGGAAGAGGGACAGACGGCCCGTCTGTAATTCAGCAGCAAGCTTGGAAGGTGGGAGTAGAATGATTTTGGAGATCATTCCTTGTTGGTCTAGCTCCAACACTAGAAAGTCAGAGGTGGGAAGAGGTCCAACTAGGAGCAATGATACAGCAGCCAAGGGAGGCCCAGATACCACCATACAAAGATGGAGGAGGTTTGGAGTGGATACCAACCAAGGTGCCATACTTCTCCCTTGATCTAAAAATCTAACTAGTAAGGAAAAGTGCTTGCAAGTGGAATTGACTGAACTGGAGTTATTGAGAGCTTATAAAGCAGATGAAGGTGCTCCTGAAGGCACTGCTCGTGTTTTCACATCTGTGCTTTACATCCATGCCGTGCCGGCTTAGCAGCTCCCTGTGCAGCATACTGCAGGCCTGATAGTTTAAAAGCAAATCCAACGATTTTTTCACTGAGTCATAATAGTTACTGCATTCACCATCCACATATAAACAAAATATTGAGCAAAACTTACAGTTCTCTGCCATTGCCTGACATTTTAAAGCCACCGAAAGGAGCCTGTGCATAGAGCGCATTGTAACAGTTGATCCTACAATAACAACATCAATTGTAAAAAGACAATTCAATACCAAGAAGCAGCGAGATGATGACAACAACAACAATACAAAAAAGGCTGAAATTGTCCATTTTCTCTTCACACAGTTCATTCACTTGAGAAATCAGATTTTAGCAATAAAATCTTATTTTGCTACAGAAACAGAAAACACTTGAGAGGTACTCAGTCTGACCTACATCTGACTTCATAGTCTCTAATGGCTAAGACATTCGTGCTTGAGCTGGAATTGAAGCTGTGTTCAGAGCTGTGCTTAAATAGTCCAGCTTACTCCCCAATTTAATGAAGCACATCCTGAAATGAACTTTTTACTCAGAAAGCTATCTAAACACTCACGAGCAGGCCCACCATCCATCTCCAGGTATAGAAAAAAGTTGGACTTCATTAGACAATTGTGTCGCAGTGAAATGAAAGCGCTAGCCCCACTTCTATAGACACTGGGTAGAAAAAGCTAATGCAGATACTTCCTCAGCATCTCAGTGAGATCAAATGACTGAAGAGAGACAGGTATGGCTTGGTGCTGTAGGACTGCACCTTCATGTACGCACAGTACCTGTGCCCTGCAGAGCCCAACATCCCATTTTTATGTAAATATCACTCAGAGGCAGATTCTTCTGCTGTCAACTCTTGAAATCAATCATCTGTACGCAACAAGATCAAACACCAGATCAAATCCCTATTTTTAGTGCGAAAAAAATCAGGATTCTATCTTTAAAATAGAAGATTAAAATCCCATCTTCTAATAGAAGAAATTTTGTAAGCAAAAATAGCTATTTATCGTTCTGACAGTGGTGTGATGCCATCTACTGTCCACACTCATTTGTGCACCTGATGCTCCCTAAAGATTGTGAAATTGCTTTTTTCTACGTACAGGATTTTGAAAGGCATCATGTCTGGCGGAACTTACTAGAACCCCTACATTTTCAGTTTTCCCGACGAAGAACTACATCGACTGAACAAACAAACAGTCCATTTCCCGCCAGACTGTCTGGTCCTCACCTCCTTATTTTGATGAACGGATGTTGCCCCTGAGCAGAAGATCAAGAATTAAGCAGACTGCTAATACAACTTACCTCCAGCACTTACACACGGTCCCAAATCGTACATCCCTCTCCCCTCCCAGCAAACAAAATCCCAGGCCACACACTGGTCCCACACTGCTTACCAGACAGTTCCCGATTGCAATGCAGAAGCCAGCGTTAATGCTCTGTCCAGATTCTTCGTGAACACCGCCGCCGTAAGGCCATACTCAGTACTGTTGGCTCTTCTTATGACCTCTTCTATACTCTTGAACTTCATAATTGGCTGAACCGGTCCAAAAATCTGCCCGTATCAATCAAACGTTAGGACAGGAAAGCCTTTGCTAATCATGGTGATTTTGAAGGAATCAGAATCAGATGCTTTGTTTGGATACTATATTTAAAATGTTATATCCTAGCCTTCTAGGAGTCACTGACAGAGTGTCTTAAAAACTACTCATTAAACTGACTCCAAAGGAATACAGCGATGTGCTACAGTAGTTCATATAGCTAAGATCCAATATATTTCAAGGTTTGCAAGTTTTCTTTCTTGGTTTTAACTCTGATTTTGTCATTGTACATAGTTTATTTGCATGCAGTGCATTTACCACGTATGCGTTTGACCACAAACTTGGCTTCCTAGGTCTCCGGTATGAAGGCAGCTGGCATACACAATACTTCCCAACTTCTCATCAAGTACAGGATCAAAGGTGGGGCCCTTTTCTGGCCTGCATGGTCTTGCCGTACAATAAACCCCCACTGAAGGTGAGACACAGTCTCACTTGTGCTGCCTTGAGGGCCAGGCTAAGCAGTTTGCTTGGCCTTTAGGCTCAGACAAGCATTTCTAAATTTCTTCATTTTGGGAGATCCAGGTACTTAACTGGAGTCTCGATCCTAGGCAAAGGATGGACGTACATTTGCAACAAAACTGCAAATGAATGAAACTGGATAAGCTTCGTGAATCATGACTTGGGATTTGGAGTCAGTTCGTTAAAAAAAAAGGCCTGTCATGGGATTTTCAGCTCTTATTCCCCCTATTTTTAGCATGTAACTCATGCCCAGACTGACTGATATCTTTCCCAGGTTCCTTAGAGATTCTGTGGCAGATCTGAGACATCGAAACATTTTGCCAGGAGTGAACAGTAAGCAGCCCCATACAAAGCACTAGGCTAAACTATAAAGTACAAGTGCCAGTTAGACTTTGGCAACTACTCATTTTCCATTGGGGAACATGATGAAAAGTAGATTAACTGCTATTTCAAAGGAATATCACAGGATCTAATCACATGCAGCTTGTTCAATTTTTCTGCATATGAATAATGAAAGCCAGAGTATTAGATCTGCACTTTGCTGGCTTCGACCTTGTTTTCATATAGGAAAAAAAATGGTCAGCCTCAGGGGATTTTGCCGTGAGAACGGAACCTGGGATTATATCAGACGCTAAGGCTACTTGAGAAAAGTTCTTCAGTGGCAGTATAGCGGGGTCATTCCTTCCCTCCTCACCAGCTTCAGGCCCAGAGTTCTTGTCCCACCTTTCTGAAGCAACTCCTTTTTTACAAAGTACTGGAGCAAGAACACACATTATACTGTTCTCTGAATCATGTACCACAGCTGAGCAATTTCAAGTCCACTCAGTAGGAGGTGCGTAAGAGCACGCACAACCATCCCTCTGCGTAGAATGGGAGAGCTTAACTCTGTCATCAGAAAACCTTCAAACTTCAGGGCAAAGAATACATAGAATTTCTCCAGCCTGCCACCGTTTCAGTTATTTTTATTCCATTATTTGTATTTAAAATCAAGGATTCAGACAGAAACCCCTCCCTCACCACTATCTCTTATTCAGAAGCAGCATTTATAGCAGCTGTACCTAGGTAAGGCATGTGCTTGTATTTTGCTTTACATAAAGTTATCCTGAAATGAGACCCAAAAGCTTTAGGGTAGTATTATCTACTATGTTTTTATCTGGGCTTGCTATTGTCCACTGAATACACTCACGAGGCTACTTTCCCTTTGGAAAACCAAACAAAATGAGGCAAAACAGCAAGGCATTAGAAAGGGCTGGCAGAGAGACACGTAGTCATTGTACAAAAATTGCTGCTAAAGCATTTTGACAGATTTTTTGCCTGTTCTGCTCTCCCCCTTCTCCTCTCACAATTCCGCTCTCCATGCACATACACTCCAAATGGAAGCTCACCTTCCGGGTATTTCAATAGTAAAATGGATTTCAGCATTAGGCAGTTGTTAGGACACTGAAATAAGTAAAACTTCTATTTTCCTTTCAGGTTTTCACTTCAAACCACAACCATACCTCTTTTCTTTCCCATGTACAGTAGTAAATGCATATAAAGCTTCAGGTGACTTGTACTGTACCTCCTCTTTGGCGATACGCATGTTGTCGGTGACCTCTGAAAACACAGTGGGTTTTATAAACAGGCCTCTGTCTTCAATGGCAAGACCCCCACACTCCAGCTTAGCCCCTTCTTTCTTCCCACTTTCTATCAGCTCCAGGATTTTATCAAACTGCTTTTGGTCAATCTGTCAGACGCAAAAGGAAAAGAAACAGACAGCAGCGCCTTTATTATCACTGTTCCAGAGACTGGAGTCATGGTACGTGGCCCAGGGGCACATTTGCAGGGCTCTGTCAGACCAGGTAAGTTTACCTCTCATTCTGTGATATGGCAGTCAGGCAATAACCAGGCTGAGAGATGGGATGTGGGCATAGCCCTGAGCCCCAGAAAACAGAAGGTGAAGTTACGTGTTATAGTTTAATCTGATCTAATAGTTTGCTGCCACACGGAAGGGGCCTCCCCACTTTCCCTTCCTCTGCATCCTGGGTATGCAATCCCCCAGCTCACCTCACCCCAGCTCTGGGACTTACTGACCTTCTCCATGCACTGATTTAGCTCAGGAGCACCACGAGAACAGCTTGAGATGGGTTTTGCTGGGCTAGCAACCTCAGTCAGCTCAGCAAGAGATCTGACCAGCAACAGAATCAGGGCAAGAGAGGGAAAATCAGGGTATGTAAACTATTGACTTTGCTGTAACGTGCAGCTTCACCCCAGCTGGAAGAACCCATCGAGCTTTGCCTCCATCTCTCCACACACACACACATACACTATATGAACAGCCTTAAAGATAAGCCCTATTAGCAGGGTGACTTCAGAACAACTACTGCACTGAAGCCGTACTTTTAGAATCAAAATCACTTTTCATGAATCTTAGAGACTAGGTCCATACCAGCATTTTTTGCTTCTCTGGACTGGGAGCGATATCCTCACTTTTAACCATCAACTTTGTCTAACTCCTCCCCACCTACACCTAAATCTGCAGTAATCTCAAACAGCCAGCCCTGCTGTGTTACGAGCCTTTAAACTAGGGGTTTCAGCAGAGGTGGGGAACGGCCACGGCAGTTACAGGACACCGAAGCCGCACGGCTGCGCAGCCCAGCACCAGGACTTGGAGGGGACATCACGAACTCCACAAGCACTGTGGGTCCTGTGCTGGGAAGGAGTGTGGAAGCTCACAGCACTTCGGATCAGTACTGATCCTCCCTTCGTGCTCCACATGCAGCAGTGTGCTGCAGGTACTGTCAAATAAACGGACGTGGATATTCTCGTGATGCGTAATTAAGCGATGCAACACCTCACCACAGCACGCTGCAGATGGTAAAAGAGTTACAGAGAAGTTCAAAAAGTAAAACTAACAAAAACGTCAACAAATTAATCGAGAGGATTATATAAAAGACTCCACCCATTGGTTCAAGGTGCCCTGGCAGCCTGGGAGGTTATTCTCAATGCCAGGTATCTCCAGATGCTTGTACTGGTTCAATACCCCTCCCTAGGCATCTGCTTTTATTTGAACAGGGCCACCTGCCAGTTGGGATTGCCTACATGAAGTGTTCCACATTCAATCCTCCAGATTACAGACTATATCCTGTCCCTAGTTAATCCTGGCCACACGCAATCCAAGTTTTCATGCTTTTAGACAAATATCAAAGCTTCAGGAGGGTGTCCTTGGGGTACTTCTGGTACAGAGTGAAAACAGAGAACAGCACATCTCCTGCCACACAGATGTGTGTATCCCATGCGCTGTGGACAGCTTGTACCAAGTGCTCATGTTCCCTCATGTGTTAAGATGCTACCCAAGAAAACACTTGACACATGCTACTGCGCGAGGAAATGTGTGCCCTCGTGTAGGACACAGTGTCACACAGTAAGTTTGGCAGGTGTCATACGTATTGTCTATTTGTCTGGTTGCTTAGTTGCCAAATGTAAATAATTTGAAAATATCTGCAAGTGCTTTCCATCCTGGCATGTCTGTGATCCAGACCAATCCAGTTCATCCACTTCACATCACAGAAAACAAAACAAGGATATTTATACAGCTGTAACTTGTTGCAAGACAAACTATAGTTAGATGAAAAGACACTGGGGAAAGAAAACATTTGTAAAAATGACATGCAAGGGTGGAACTGTTTGTCGTTGTAACTAGAGCTTGCAAGGCTTGTTTAAATTCTGTCCTTTACTCCACTATTATTTATGGTTCCAGCATTGACTTCTATTAAAAACACATGATCTGGTAGAGCAAATTCTACTATTCGTCCATCTAATTCATACGAGAATTCCAAGGATCGCTGCAGCGCTGAAAGTCTGAGAACCCCCAAATCTCCATATCTTGCTTCATTTAAGTCAAGACTGCAAGGAGCAGTTTTTCCTTTTCCAAACCCAGCATTTGTAATCCCACAGAATAACCCCACAAAAGTGTCCAACAGACTGTTGGACACAGACTCTTTCTACTTACATATTTTACTTCCGTGCTTTACTCCTAAAGTACACAGATGTCTACAGTCTAAGGAAAACATTCACCATCTTAAAAATCAAACAATAGGTTTTGGACTGAATAACTACTGGCTAGCACGTGCCATGAGGCAGCCTTAGGGATTATTTTATTCCTGTAGACCAGGTCTTGTAGTCCACAAATCCCAGTATCTGGGGTTCTACAACACCAAAACTAGTCCAGTCTTGTTCTAATCTAACCCCTGTTCTAGTCCGCCAGGACGCCAGTCTCATCTAATGCAGTCTGCTGTTCACCATCATATCACGCACTGGTTAACCAGTTTGCCGTCTGTGCAGATTTACTTCATGACTTCCTGTGATACAGCTCACAGGAATCCAAGGTTAAAAAATGCCCTTGGTCTGCATTTGAGGTTGGACCTCCACTCAAACAGTCCTGAGCACCCCTCGGGTTTCTTGTGGCGTCCTTTGAATTCCAGCCAGTCAACACAGTCAGACACATGTGAGTTTTGGAGAAGTCTCATCAGAAGCATGCCTTATTTCTGTTTAAATTCAATACTGTTTAAATTGGACCTAATTTTGATCAGAGCAGTGCAGTTTAAATCGGCACAACCCAGTACTGCAGCTGACACAGTCTTCTTCCTCAAACCCATGCCACGAGCATCCATGCCAGTGCACAGTAAGCCACATCGTTGAACTGACCTGAGTGAAACCTTTCTTCCTCACATCCAAAAAGGATCGACTGGACCTGAATCAGCCAGTTCCCCAATCTAGTTCATAAGTGCAGTGCAATATAGGAACAAACAGCTGCACACAGGACCACTTTTCCAGGACTAGATTACATCAACTTTCAGCTCTTGTGGAAGAGGATTGTCTGTCACCCCATGCTGTTCTGCAGCAGTTGTCTCAGCAGCTACTTCGAGCACTACGCTCAGCCACGCTGCAGCTTGGTTTCACGGAGCACTGGCTCCAAGTCTGGACTGCAGAGGCGCTCATGTTTTACCCTTTCTGAGCTCTCTATAAGTTGCAGGTCCTGTTGTCCGGCTACAAGCACTTGGAGCTGATGTAAGGACCCAAAAGATCACGGGCTACAACCGCTGTCAGCCTAAAGGGTGGCTCCATCTCCTTCCCACTGTTGCCTTCCAAGCCAGTGATCATCCCAGAACGGGGTCTACCCAGCAGCATGTAGCCATTTGTGTAATGCTGTTGTGTAATGTTCATCCTGACCCACACAGAAAGAGAATGAAAGCAATGACCTGGATCTGAAGGAACTGAGGCCTGGTGGGCAGAGATGAAAGAGAAGAGGAAGACAAATTATTTTTCCTGGTGATTCTTCCCTTCTTCATCAGTTCAAGATAAAAAAAAACCCTCACAGCAGAGCAGGTTACTTCAGGAACACAGGAAGAATTTGATCTGGCAGCTTCACATTTGAACAGCAACTTGTGGGCAAGCGTGAATCTTTGCTACTTTGGGAGGTATTTTAAGCCCGCGTGACACTGCATCATATCTCTCTTCTGCTTGAATTTCTGTGTGTTGCATCTTGCAGCATGGGCTCCAGACAGCAAGCAACCATAGCTGCAGAGGAACTGGTTGTTCCTTTGCACTGGCAGCCACATGAAAGCTTTGGGGTTAACGGTTTCCTCCCACTCTCTCCACACCTTCCCACCTTGGGCTTGACAGCTGCATGCACAGAAGTTCAGGGGGGTGTGTGTCGGTGTGCTGTCTCTCCTAGCTAGTGTAACAGGTAAGCCAGAACAGGGAAAGGGGACAGATGGGACATATTTAAAATCTGACCAGATGCTGCTATTCCAACTTACTGTTACCCTTAATTATATCTCTGTATGCAGAGAGTCTCCCTTAAGCTATAGCAGTGATATCAGAGGATGGGAAGTGGTCTGACAGCCCAGCAAGAGCTGGGAGCATGGATGAACTGAAATAAGCAGCCCAGTTCTACATGTTCTGCTCACTGCAGAACCCTTTAAAACCTCACAACTACTCCCTATGATTTCAGGGGCTGTTCAGAGCAGCCAGGTGAACATGGTCCTGACAGGATTAACAATAAATGCAGCTCATTTACTGCTACTGCTGGATAAGGTTTAGGATGATGTTGTATAAAAAAACTCACAACCCCAAAAGCAAACAACAAACAAACCTGAAAAGCTGACAGCCCTAACAGAGGGTAAGAGCAGATGTTGAAATGGTTTGAGGGTCAGCTCATCTCTCCTGAAGCAAGGTCCAGCACGGGATTATTTTCCTAAGACTGCTGACCAGTTTGAAATCTCTTCCTAGGCAAGTTACAGGGATGTAGCCCCAGCATGAACAGGGGATGTACATCATCTTATTCCCCATGCATGAGGACATGCAATGAGGTTTTGCCATGCATGAATCACGTGTAAATGGGCCTAGATCCAGATAAGGGGAGGCAGATGTACTCACAGCCATCCCTTCTCTGAGGGATCCTACATAGCATCAAGGAAGAAAAATTCACAGTGCAGTATTGAGAACTGCAACAGAGAACTATTTCTGGTAGCAAACAGTGGCCCTGTTAGAAGATCTGACCCAAGGATCATCTTCCTCCAGAGCTCTCCACCACAGCTCAGATTGCTTCGCAAGGAAAAAATAAGAGGAAGGCTCTGGAAGCTTTGACGAGGCTGGTCATGACAGCAGCTTGGCATGGTTCTTCGCCTAACTCAGCTGAAACTTCTCCAAAGGATCAAAAGGAGAGCAGAGGAAGAGAGGGAAAGTGGGGACTCAGGAGTCCCTGGGCTGTAAACACTTGTCATCACCAACACAGCCAAGTGGCTGCGTGGCCATTTCCGCAGCTGCTCTCTTCTGTGCATTGCTGTTGCTCGCTGGAACGTGCTTTGTATCACTGTACCAGGGAGACAGCCCCTTCCATAAAACTGGATAAGACGTGAATTAAATACATTTGTGTTTAAAAAAAAATTACAACATAACATTTCAACAGTTGTGATTAATTGATATTTAAAACAGAGAGAAAAATAAAGCCACGATACATTACTCACCCCTCAGCACTTCTGCTGGGACCATATTCATAAGGATAATATTTACACAAGGAAAATAAAACAAAAGCACAACCAAAAACCCAAACAACTGTTCTCAGGCACACAGTTACCTGGGGCCCTTGTTCAGTTCTGGCATCGAAGGGGTCTCCAACGAGTCGCTTCTTGGCATACTCCACGCTGCGCTTGACAAACTCTGGATATATCTGCTCCTCCACAAACACTCGCGAGGCAGCCGTGCAGCACTGCCCTTGATTGAAGAACACGCCTTGATGGGCGCATTCCACGGCCAAGTCCACTGCAACACGGCCCAGGAGGGAAAAGCGTTACCACATGCACAGTATCAGCCTTCTGGTGTTTCCAGACTTGTGTTTTTTTCCTTTCTCTTTTGAAAGCCTCCTTAAAAATGCTGACAATGGTCCACACCCATTGAAGGCACTCACAAGGCCTCATACTGCCCCCAAACCAGATCTCTTGTTATTTCCACCCCGCTGCCTGCCTTTTGTCTCAAGGCCTAGTTTGCCATAGCTCCTGATACCTCCTTCCACAAGGACTCACTGAGGGCAGGAACCAGTTTTTCTTGCTGTGGGAATTTCAATGTGGATTTCTAGATACCACGCATTGGTTTCCAAAGACAAGTGTCAGCACTGATTGTTGAGAACGCAGCGTGCCCTTCTGCTGTACAGCCAGCTTCCAGGTCCTTGCAATGCTCACTGTTAGCAAACGGCACGAACACCTCTGGCTTTCGACCTTTGCTGTGCCGTGCAGGAGAGTGGAGAGTATTTTCCCCAAACCAAATAGGATCATCCAACCACTTTGGTGGTCACAGCTTACCCGTATCTCCTAATGCTACTCACTAAGGCAACAAAGTCACAACGGAACACGCGAAAGGAGTCCTGCAGGCCCTCAGGGTAGAGGTGAAAGCTGGATCAGATCAGGTCCTACGAAACTCCCCTGTCAAAATGCAGAGGGGCTGCATTTTACAAAACTGCTTTCCCCACTGCTTGCCTCAGGCTCTGCAGTACTGCCAACCAAAAAGAAAGCACCACAACAGCAGAAACCCACAAACGCAAGATTTATCTGCAACTGCAGCCACCCCCAGGGAAGGCAACAAGATAATAGTCTGCTCATTTGCCATGGGAATGATCCCTGTGCTGGGCAAGAGCTCCAGCGAAGCAGAACTGCACCCTGCTCTTGACAGAGGCTTCCTCCAGTCTTTGGGGTGGATACAGCTGCAAACATCAGCCCTGCTGGCTGCCAAAGGACAGCAGAGACACACAAACAGCACCACGCTCCTCGTCCCTCACAGCAAATAAACACAGCAGCCAATACTTACAGTCTGCATCTGCACACACAATGCAGGGGTTTTTCCCTCCGAGCTCTAATGTCACCCGTTTGAGGTTGCTTTTAGAAGCAGCTTCCTTGATCAGTTTTCCAACCTGTAGCATTGAGACACAAAGAGGACATGAGCTGTTTCCCCTCAAAGTCTTAACTCGGCGTGTCAAGGGTGACGCTAACAAGAGTAGAAGAGCCTGGTGGGTGGCTGAAGCAGGTAGGAGTCAGGGAGAGCACTTTGAAATGGTTTGAGTTTCCTACCGCTGTGATGTGTTGGGTCAAAACCAGCCCTGGAATTAATGTTTGGTTCAGGCAGATCTGAAAGGGCGGGCTACATGGGAGAGCTACAGGAGCTGATTCCTGAAGTTATCTGCTACCCAGAGCTGCAGAACAAGGCATTTCCCACCCAGTGCAAGCTAGTGAGCGACACTGGCAATCAATGGGGCTCCCAGGTTTATGAGCTTTACTTTTAAAAATTGGGAATTCAACTTAGAGTAATTCTAGCCAAGGGAATGATAAGAACTCCCTGTTCCTATCTGTTACCACTCCCATACCAGAAAGCCACATAGAGATTTTGACATTTAGGAGAAAACTATTTCTTTCTGACAGTTTAGGTTGAGCTGCTCCACACACAAGAGCAGCTGAGACAAGTTCCTTCCAAGGCAATACCTGAGGATGGCAACAGACAACCTCCGGGTAGCTCTGCTGTGGCACTTTCTGCCCAGGGACCTGCTCTGAGCATCTGGTGGAATTTATCTGGCCACTTTCTCCTGAAGGGAAGGATTTACTCTGCTTCCAGAATTTAATCAAAGTAATGTCAGACTACGGGCTTTTTTTTCCCACAGAAAAAATGGTTTACATCAAATGTTTTCTCCAAATTCTGACTGACTGGGCTATTCCTTTTTTATGCTGGTGACACCAAATCAGCAGTTTCTCTTTCTGTTTTAAAAAATAGAATTCCTCACAAGAAGAGCATAAATCAAGCGTTGGAATCATTTAGTAATCTAATATTGTTAGAAACAGTACAAGTTAAAACTATTTGGGAGCTTCAGCTGTTAAGGCAAGTTATTTTCTTAAGTGTGACCTTATATTTGAATTTCCTGATTTTGTAACTGGTTTTCTTGTATTTTGCCTTTGCACATGCCAATCTTAACTTCATTTCTGCCTAAAAATACTGTTGCCCTGGAGCAGGGAAAGCATGGGGGAGCTGGCTGGCAGTTATAGGTCTGCATTTCTCATGGTTTGCCTTTGTAACTCAACCAAGACTCCTGAGCCTAGCAGTACGGATCATCGCTGGTCACTCAGCAGCCTAGTCCTAGAGACAGCAGAAATAAGTGATGCATCCTGCTGCAGATGCACATAGCAAGAGGCACTGCTACACACTAGCCGGCCAAAGAGGAGTAAGTTAATAAACTAAGGGAAAGGAAGAAATCTAGATGGGAAAATTCTCATGGAGTTTAAGATCAGTATTTCCAGGCTGGCACTGAGCCCAAGCTGCGACTTAAAAACTAACTCAAAATGTATTTTGAATTAGCTTCACTTCCTGGCTCAGAAACAGTAGCATTATGCTGCAAATACTGCAGAGATGCAGCTGAACTCACAGATGGGTGGAGGAGGAAGAAAACACTTCTAAATTACCCGTGCATTAGCAACGAATCTGTCTCCCTCGGTGTTTCCTGCACACCCATGGATTAGGAAGACAAGCACAGCATCTACAGGAGTTTTTTGCCTACAGGCTCCAGCAGCTGAGATTTTCCTTCTGCCATTAATCCACTGGATACTCCTTTTTCATTAAAAACCCAAACAGATCCATGTGGGCTGGATGAGTCTATAAGCTCTGTTGTTTTCACACAGCCAGCACCTAATCGGGGCTAAAAGTTTCTGATCTAGGATTTGGAGAGAAGCATGTAACTGGGTAAACTCCTAGATTAGACCAACTATCAAGAGAGTAAAAGCTCATTGTGAACTTTTACTTTATTGCGTTCATGTTTGTTCCCGTGATCCCTATAGAGAAACGGGCTTAGCACACCTTCTCCTATGGGATGAGCGAAGCGGTTAGCATGTACGCAAAGCCACTAGATGGTACTGTTGTTAAACGAAGCAGCTTCTGAGCGTTCAGGGAGTTAACCTTTACCGACCAAGAACACCATTCAAGGTAGTTATCATTGTACGTTTAGATTGAACTCTGCAATTACGAGGATAGACATAAGAATGGATGAATTCGGCAAATGCTCAACAAGAACAATGTTACTCAAAGAAATCAAAGAGGAGACCATATTTGCCTCAACTGCACCCATTGGTGTCAGCATTTCCATTCTTTGGATGCTGCCTCTCTTCAGGGGGTGCGTATATATTGCAAGAAAAATCTAGAGCAGTGAGTGAAAAAACATTCACATTCTAAACAAGTTTTTATTTGGGAAATTTCAGCAGTGATTACTGGAGACAAATACATTTGCATGTCACACCTGTGCTCAATTCCACAGACCAGGCCAAGACACGCGCCCCTTTCCCCGATGTAGGTAAAGAGGACGGCTGTAGGTGTCTGACAGTGCAGAGGTCTCGCTTCCACCCCTCTCCTAAGCAAGGCAGCCGTAGCTATTTACAGGAAAAAACTGACTAGACGGTGCCTTATTGTGCAGGTGTCAAAAGAAGCTCAAATGTTAATCCCATCCACGTCAGCAGAGGAAGCCTCAGGCACGAGGCCATGTTTTTATTTAAGTCCTAGTTCCTCGCAAGTAACTACAGCTGAGGAAGGATTGTTCAGGGCTCTGACGTGTTTTCCAGTTGCACACGCTTGCAGGGCAGGACTGGCAGGCAAACTTGCCCAGAAGCTCCATCGGGTCAATGACACGACGTTAAGTCACTGCCAGCCTCTCCTGTAGACTGTCTTACCTTATGTCAGAGCATCTATTACTTGCAGTTCTCACAGAAACGTGGCAGTTTGGCAAAGCCCAGCTGACAGAGATCTGGGATTATCACAAGCACAAGGACCTGAATTCGACAAATCCGAAACACCTCTGAGAAATCCTGTCACATGGAACGTGATGGAAAATGGTGTCGGCGACACAGAAATCATCGACATTTCATTGGTCCAGTCTTACGCAGACGGCGGTTTTAGAAGAGAATGCAGGTGTTTTATGGAAAATCCATCACCTACCTTTGTCGATCCAGTAAAAGCAATTTTATCAATGCTGTGATGGGTAGAAATAGCAGCTCCAGCTGTGGGGCCATAGCCTGGCACAATGTTCACCACACCTGGAGGGAAACCCACCTAAAACAGAGGTTAAATACAGCTCTGTAGAGAGAGACTTCGAGCACTCTGGAGCTGATCTGCACTCCTGAGGGTGCAGTTCAGTTCTCAGGAAGCTTGAATTAGTTGCACTATATTCCTTGCAATTAAGAATTGCAAGTTGCAGACAAGCAGCCCATACCAGATACCTCACTGTTTTCCAGACTTTCCAGTAACGTGGCTGCATGCTACCAGCTGGAGTAGACGTGGGTGAAAGTAACAGCCATGCTTAGGAAATGCCAAGTTTCAGCAAGAATTCTTGGAGGAGTCCCAGTTTCAAGTCAAAAGAGAGTGAGTCTTTCGGCCAAACTTGGCCCCCAGCTACTGCTGTGCAGCTGGAGCCAAGGGGTAACTGAATGAAAGTTTGTTTTGAACAAAGGTTGACATTTGTGGCTCTTCAGGGGCCAGAGGGATTAAGAAGTCAGTAAAACCTCACTAGATGATGGGGCTAATAAAACAGGAACACAAAAGCAGATGGTAACAGACGTATGCCAGTTTCCACCACATTTACAACCTAGATTAGCCAACTAGTCATTTTGCCAAAAGAGACAAATGGCAAAACTTTAGGTGAAATTCTAGTGCAAGGAGAAGTGCAGGACTTACTAGTCTGTTTTTACTTCCTGAAACAAGAGTTTCAAGGATTACGCTCTTCTAGGCCAGCCCTCCCCTACTACTGATTGCACAACGTTGTTTTCCCCTCAATTTCTAACAAAGGAATTGAGGATATTAAACGTTCACTTCATTTCTTGTGGATTTTTAATATAAAATCTCAACAAATGCAGTTGCTCCTTCCCAATACAGAAAAAAAAAAAAAAAAGGAAGTAATTGCTCCTGTACTATCTTGAAAAAAAATGATCTTCATAATTTTTACCCCCCTATTTTTTCTTTTCATAAGTTGCAAGGGCAGTCTGATTTCTTCTATGGATGTGACAACCATAAAAGTGAGTTCAATAGAGTTTGAATCTTGGCTAATAAGTTTTCAAGAAAACATTGCATGTCAAACTGTGCAAGTAACAGTGTTTGAAGTCAGCAGCAAAGCCACAAGGAAGCAAAAAATTGGTTCAGGTCATTCCAAGCCAAAAAGTTTTTTCTGTTTTTCAGCAAAAATGAAAGCCAAAGTATTTGGGTTGGCTCCGAATTATTTCATTGAACCTAACACATAGCTTTGCTTGTGTGTTAACATCTTCTGCATCCTTTTAAAGATTAGGGGGAAAAAAAAGTTTAAGTTATTCTTCTGAAAAACTGCAAAGAATTCAGCTAATTTTGGGTGGAGAAAAGAGCATCTCCAAATAAAATTATTCTGCTCTAATTACACTTGTGCCTTCAAGGACAACTGTGAGAAACAGGCAGCTTAGAATTTCAGCTCAAAAAATTAATTTCACCAGAATGGAATGTTTTTTGGGGGCAAATTCTATGCCTGTGTTTGGGGAGCTGTATGTCAAAGCGAAAAAAGCAGCGCTGTGGCAGGGCTAACTAGAATTCGTGAAAACTGCACCCTATGCTCACTCATCTTGTGTAATCTTATTAAGTCAATTAACTGCAGGAGATACTTAACTGGCAGTGGTTTTGCACTGCCTTCCCTGACAGAGGAGCCCTAAGTGTCAATTACTAACGTGTCCTTCTATTTTCACCCAGGTTAAGCCAAGAACAGACAAAAACATCATTATCATTTCACTGAGCCTAACAAACAGACTTTTCCAGCTGAGAGGCAAAAGCGTATCTACAACCCTTTTAGTTTTCCTAAATGATACAAAATGGCACAAACACAAGACTGCTGTCCAATCACACTCTTTTTTGTCCCATTGTCTAATAAAACTGAGCTGTAGTCTTTCCCTCATTTGGGAGAGGGGAAGACAAGGCAGAGGAATAAAAGCACCATTTTTTCTCTCTGCAACTTCCTGAGAAAGGCGAAAAACCTACAGGTTTTGCGATCTTTGCTACCTCCCAGCCAGCCACTGCCAGTCATGCAGGCCTTTGTAAGAAAAGACTGAAGGCAAAAGTTGTTCTTACTTTCCTCTGTGAGGCTTTAACGTCTTTAAAAGCTACAAACCTACACAGCCAATTCAAAACACAGTCTTGCTTACGACCTTAAAAGAACAGCCCCTAGATGGGTTGTTCAGATTTCCTTACCTCCTTGATTAGCGAGCCAATGTACAGCGACGTGAGCGGGGTTTGTTCGGCCGGCTTAATAACCAAAGTGTTTCCGCAGCACAGCGCTGGTGCCATCTTCCAAACCAGCATTAGCAACGGGAAGTTCCACTGCAAGAACACAAGGCTGGTCAGATCAGCACAGCACAGCCACCTACTCACTTCCACAACGCAGCATTTTCTCCACCTTCGCACAGCTCAGGGAGAAAGAAGCAACTGGGAAGACAGCCACAAAGTGGCTGCTTACAATATTGTGTTTGCTTGGACTACGGAGTGTAACTGCCTTGATTTCCCCCTGAGATCCCCCCTGAGTCCTCAAGCTAGTCCTGAATGTTGGACAAACCCCTGTGTGATGTGACCTCGTTCTTTACAGGAGTTTCATCACACTTTCTATAGGGTTTTGGCTGCTCACAGGAATCGTGTTGGAGGTGGTGTCCGGATGCATCACTTTTGTACAGCATCCTTATGTGGGGGAATTACAAGGTGCAACTGCTCATGGAAGAGACCTCATTTTTCTGTGTTAGGTATTGGCTGAGTAGTTAGGAGTTATACAATATCATTCAATTCCAGGTTTATAACTAGGAAACTGCAGTGGGTTGTTCAGTCATGGAAATCCAGGGGAGGTCTTACGCTCCCTTCAAATTGTGAATTGCTCCTTTCCAATTAGTTTTCTGATTTGGAATTAGGAACGAGTCCACATCAGTTTCCTCTGTGCTAATCTCCTTCATGGTCATGTGTATTTGTAGATCTTGGAGACTAAGCAAAAGTGGAAAATCTAGCTCACATTGAATCTCAGAAAGGTCATTTGGCAGCAGAAAGGATTTCTTCATTAAAAATAATTAATGCTGCTTTAGGGATGATGGAAGCAGGCCAACAGCAAGGGGACTTCTTGTCAAGGCTCAAGCCAAGGGCCTTCAGTAATCGACAGAGAAGCCAAATATGTTAGGAATCCACAAATTCACACTTACAAATAAAATTAGCAGCGTAGCTTTTAAGACTGAGTTCTAACCCAGCAGCCCTAAGACAGGGCTAGAATTTAGTCTAATGTGCTATTCTTCAACCTGCCTCTCCCTCCTTCCCAGACTGTTTCGTTTCAGTGACCTTCTCCAAGGCCACATCCCATGATTTGCCCATTTGTCTTTTTCTCCCAAACCTTCTTGAAGGCCTGACTTTGCAGCTTGAGCCATCCACACCTATGCTACCTTTCTATACTCTCAGAGCCTGACATAATTCCATTAGGAGCTTTGCGTTGCAGAATGGCCAGTGAAAGTAACAGCAATAGTCCAGGGCTGCCTCGTCACATCACCTTGGGATAAAATTCAGTCATATGCTGCACTGTCTAAGAACTTTCCTTGCCAAGAACATCGGTTTAAATATAGCCAAGCCACAGGAAAAAGGGAGGATTGTTAATTGGTCTAGGGAGACATATGCAGAATAGTGACAGAATTTCTTTAAATCAAATAGGAATATACAAACCCACAGACTGCTGGTGTTAAAGATCAAACTGGAAAAAAAAATTTGAAGGGGATTTGTTCTAAGTAAACTGAAGACAGATACAGTTTTGGGGACCCCAATCATCCTTTTTACAAACAGTGTTGAATTGAGTCAAATTTGGTTCTGTACTTCCTACTGTTTTTATTGCTGATGTAGGGTCAACCTGAAATATTAGAAGTCCCACTATAACCCCTCATAGTGGCCCACCAAAGCATCCTACATGTAGGCTTTTAAAGGGACAGTTTCCAAAAGCACTGCTGAGCACCAAAGGTGGTTGAAGTGTGACCAGGAGATACCTTTTAATCGATGATCAATGCTAGGAACCTCATGTTTTGATCTTAAGTTGTTCACAAGCACTCACATTGCTTATTCAGCCAGAGAAGCCATGCAGAAGTCATCAAGCCAAACATCTGATAACTAGTACCAACCATCTCCACTTTGCCTCACCCTGACATTGCTAAATAGACCATACCAGCTTATCACCAGGGATAT